CCTTAATGTGTTCAATGCATTAAGGTAAAAAAACCTTCTGGGCCCAGCTCCCCTCTCAGCCCACCCACCTTATACTTGCCAGAGCCCCATCTCTATTCAGTGATGTGCATGAGACCCACAGCTCTCCCAGGCCTCTTTCTCCTCATTGGTTCACACAGCAGCCGGAGTCCCACAGCCAGTGAGCCAATGAGGAATGGGGGGGGGGGACCAAGCCAAATTCTGTGTGTAAATGGACAATGTCACCAGCAGGGGGCCCAAAAAGAAGAGAATTGGGGCTGCTCTGTGAAAAACATTTTTTTTTTAAAACCTTTTGAATAAATTTAAAGAAGAGAAATATATGTATATACGTGTGCATATTCTGCACAATAATTTAAAGGATAAGTTCACCTTTTGACAAAAAATAATAAATGTACATTTTTTTGCAGGTCCAAAATTGTACATGTATTATTTTTTGTTGCAGGAACCTGTAACACATTACACCAGCGATATCAGCAAATCCCTGGTGCCATGCAGGATTCCTGCAGACCTGTCAGTATATCTGCTTGCCCATACATCCCATATGAGCAAGCTGATACACTCTGAGGAAGCATCAATGAACTACACAGCGCTCACAGTGACATTGGAAATATATTATTATTATTATTATGAATACAGTACCACAGCGCTCACAGTGCCGTGGTAGTTCATTGAGAAATACAAGCTGATAGCCGCTAAGGTTGCCGGGACTTGTAGTTTTTTCATTCACAGAATACAGCCTTTTTATTTATTTTGACAGCTAGCAGGAGGAGAAGATCCCACGTTAGCTGTCAAAGCGGGGAAGCGGGGGCCCTGTCCTTTCATAACATGTTGAGTGTTACACCCTGAATCTAGGTGTAACATGTAACATGTCATGAAAGGTGAACTTATTTATTAAAAAAAAAACCATTGGTATTATCTCCTCTCTTTTTTTTTCTATTGGCAAAACACTGATAACCCTATTTTAGGCAGTCGGTATATCGGTGCTTAACTATTGAAAATACATTGATAAGTCCCTGAAAGGAAGGTCAAATGGTGTCACTCAAGACATAAAACAATTACACATCTGTTCAAACAGACTGTAGTGTTTCTAGACTTTTTTTTTTTATTACAAAATAATTAAAAGAAAAAAAAATGTTAATATATATTATATATATATATATATATATATATACAAATATATATATATATATAATATATATATATACACATACAAACATACATATATATATATATATAATATATATACTGTATTATATATATATATATATATATATATATATATATATATATATATACACACACACACACACACACATATATATATATATATATATATATGAGAGAGAATCAGTATGTTTATGATCACAAACAGGACTAACAATTATGATATTTCAAATATCAACAACACATACTTACTGTAAAATTGCAGATGGTTCATGTAGATACAAAAATAGAGGGCAAGGTTTAGCCCTGCCATAGGTATGCATTTATACTGACTTACAGCTGGACTCACATTCAAGAGACATCACTAAAACAAACCATAAATCATACCTAAATTAGCATAAATTAACATTATGCCACAAAATGGATTACTTTTCTGCTTCTAACATTTTAGTAACTGTATTCATTCATAAAATAATCATTCATCATCATTTGTTTCTGTCTGTACACCATATAATTTCCTTATTCAGTCTGTGTTTTTAAAAAATCATGTTTATGTATGCAAAGATCGGTAACAGATAATCATTAAAGTCTTCATTTAAGTAAACATCTTAAATCAAATAGAAAACAATTGAGGCTTCTACAATAATGCTGACAAACTAGAACCAGAGGTCACAGAAGACATGTCAAAAGACATAAATGGATCCGTAAAAAAATGACAGACAATCTATAGGTATTATGTTTGGCACTTTCCCTACCATAATATAGCTAACCCTTCAAAATTTTAATACAGAACTAGGACCCAGTGCATCCCAACATTTATTACACACCTTCAAGGAATGCACTCGCTGCATACATTTCATGATAAAAATATTTGCATATAACATGGTGGTATGTAGCAAGGAAAAACAGCATCATATGTTCATAAATTACTGACACTATGCCTATGTAATGAACGTTAACATGAGAGACGTATATTGTGTATGTGATTTAGAAATGTGATTCAGAAAATCTGCTATTAATACCATCAGTGTAATCAGTTTAGGACTCATGCACCATCTTCCACATAATAAATGTCTATCATTTTAAACATATTGCTTTCTTTTTTGTGTGAAATGTGCAAAAAGAAATATATATTTTTTTGTATTGGTAAAAAATGACATTATATATGACTTCTTAATGTATGCTGAATATATTTGGTGGTACAATGACCTAAGGGTGAGAACGACAGCACTATATAGTATTCCTTGGGGCTCTATAACCTCCACAAGCAGATGCTATCTGAAAATAACTCATATATAAAGCTAGACGGTGAATTAAATTCTGGGGTCAGCAAATGGTCATTGGCTGATTACAGTCAACTCAATCTTCTGAAGCTCCAAGTGATTATTTGAGAACAATGCTGGGACCATTATGTCAACAGCACCTAAGATGACTGCATTGTCTTACAAGCAACTGGACAATTGCCTTATTGTATAATGACTAACCATGCTAAAGCTATTACTAAATACCCATCAGTGGTTTAGTTCTGCATCCTAACACATTTAGGTATAATTGTAGGGGGAAAAACACATCCTTTAAAAGTTGAATTACTAATTTATAGCATCACCAGGGGCGGACTGACCATTTGCGCACTCGGGCACTGCCCGGGGTCAGTAGGGGGCCCCATGAAATGCCCCTGGTACCTTTTATAGGCTTTTTTTGGGTGTGCTTTGAGTGTGGGCAAGGACACAGGGGCCCCACGATCCCCTATTGCCCGGGGGCCCCATGAGTTGTCAGTCCGCCCCTGAGCATCACCAACCTTACTGTTCTTAAAGCTCAGTCATTCCAAGAATAAAAACCTGGCGATCCTGCCAGTCCACAGCCTGGCTGTGCTATTTTGCCAGCAATTAATTAACTTCAGCATTGTCTCCCTGTCAACCCTCCTCCTTACATAAAATAAAGACAAGGGTTATCAACCTTGCTGCCGCAAAAAGTCCTCAATTCACTGCCATTCGACACTGGCCATATAACCCAATGGGAAGCCATACACCTGGAGAGGGCGACATGGGGCATCTCCTATTGATTTTGGCCTGGTAGAATAAAGACCTTGGTGGCCCCATGTGATGATGTCACTGGTTCAAATAAGATGATTTCTTCATCCGGTAAGCAAAAAAAAAACCTAAATGAGAGCAACAAAGAGAAAAGGACTTGGCACTAAACAAAAACATATTGGCCAAAAAAGGTTTTTAATGATTCTTTCCATGATAAAGATAAGGACACCCACCTATATTGCAGCTCCACAGTAGAAAAGATCTGGCCCCAGGTGATGATGCCAGTGGGGAAAGAAGATATTTTTTTCATTCATTAAGAAAGTAAGTAGAAAAGAAGGTCTTTAATAATTCTGCCCATGAAAAAAGACAAGAGCACCCTCTTGGATTCCAGCTCCGGTGTAGTAAAGACCCCAGCAGCCCCATGCGATGATGCCATAGGGGCAAAAAAAGGATATCATTCATTAACAAGGTAAGAAAAAAATGATAGCTGGGATCTACAGAACAAAGGGGACATGGCAGGAAAAAAACAAACAAAAACACCTGGGCCAAAGAAGGTCTTTAATGATTCTGTTCACATTAAAGATAAAATTGTGCTCTTGGATTTCAGCTCAAGTGGAAAAAAAACTTCACTGGCCCCATGTGATGATGTCATGGGGCAAAGAAGAGGATTTTTTGAAGCTAGTTGGGATCTACAGGGAAAACAGGACTTGGCAGTAAAGAAAAACACCTTGGCTAAAGAAGGTCTTTAATGATTCTGTCCAAAATAAAAGATAAAGACATTCTCTTGGATTCCAGCTCCAGTGGAATAAAGACTTCAGTGGTGCCATGTGATTATGTCATGGGGCAAAGAAGAGGATTTCTTAAATCTAGTTGAGATCTACAAGGAGTATAGGACTTGGCAGTAAAGAAAAACACCTTGACCAAAGAAGGTCTTTAGTGATTTTGTCCACAATAAAGATAAACCTAAATGGCTTCCATCTCTGGTGGAGTAAAGACCTCAGTGGCCCCACGTGATGATGTCATAGGATAAAGAAGAGGATCACTTCATCCATTAAGGGGGTGAGTAAAAAAAAAAAAGGTAAATAAAAAAGCTAGATAAAATCAGGTGGGAGAATTTGGCAGTAAAAAAAACACACGTTGGCTAAGGAAGGTCCTTAAAGATTTTCTTGATGATAAAGGTAAGGTTATCCTCTTGAATTTCAGCTCTGGTGGAGTAAAGACCTCAGGGGCCCGATGTGATGATGTCTGGGGCAAAGAAGATGATTTCTTCATTCATTAGGAAGGTTAGGTAAAAAAAAATCTAGTTGGGATCTGCAGGAGGATGACTTAGCAGTAAAAAAACACCTTGGCCAAAGGTCTTTCATGATTTTCTCCATGATTAAGGTAAGGGCTTCCTCTGTAATTCTAGGTCTGGTGGAGTAAAGACCTCAGTTGATTTCAGTAGCAAAAAAGAGTATTTCTTCATTCATTAAAAAATTAGGTAAAAAAAGATACATAGGATCTGTAGGGGGATGATGACTAGGCAATAAAGAAAACCATCTTGGCCAAAGAAGGTCTTTAACGATTCTGTCCAACGATAAGACCCTACGTCAAATTATTCCAATAAACACCTCCAACCCTTACCTGTTAGCAATCCCATGTAGATGACAAAAATTGTGACCTTATAGATCATTTAATGTTACATTTTGCTATGATGTTTATATAATAAGATGATACACAGGCATGAATCAACTACATCAGGCAGTAGGGTTAGTATTTATCGATAGCTGACATCATCACCAGGGATTGCTAAACACGGATTGATGCCTGCCCTTTGCTTACCTGCCCTTTAACAAGGCTGGCTGCGAACTGCCTCATGACTGCCTCCACCGTGTAGGCACTGGACCATCCTCTGGGGGTGAGGAGCTCCATGCAGATGGCTCCACCATCCAGCACATAGCCATTCTCCAATCTGGGGCTCAGCACCCTCATGAAAGGAGGGGAGAAGGGAAAGTTGTCCGGGAAGGTGAGGTTGAGCAAGATGTACTCGGTGTTGGTCTCCTTCATGTCCTGCCAGAGGGTGGAGTCCTTGTCCACCTGGTGCAGCTTGACATTCCAGTCGAAGAGGTTGTCATCCACCAGCTCCACCGAGATGAAGTGGTCGCTCAGTTTGCGGATGTCTTGAAGCTCCTTCATCAGCCGCCTGCTCCTCACCTGGGTGCAGTGCTGCCTGTTGGGGGGCACCAGGGGCTGCAACGAGGAGCCCCCACTTTGCTTGTTCCCCCCCCCTCCCCCCGCTGCCCCCACCTGGCTGCTTGGCTTCTTTTGTAATGGTCGGGGTGCTAGTTTCTTTGGCACTGTTCTTGTCCTTGCCTCCAGCTGTCCCATGCTTGTCCTTGTGAGCCTGCTCAGTCTTTTTACCCTTGATGTCAGCCTGGCCGAGCATCCCTTCGGTGGTTGTCGAGTTATTGCTGCAGCAGCCGGCGCTGCCCCCGCCGCCGCTACTCCCACCACCGCCGCCGCCGCCGCCTCCTCCTGCTGAACCTCCTTGCTGCTGCGGCTGAGGCTGCGGCTTGTTGCTGCTGTTCTTCCCCTTGCTGCTGCCGTTCTTCAGGGATCCCTGCTGGTTGCGGTGGTGGTGGTGCTTGGGGTCCTCGGTGTCCCTGTCATTAAGGCGAATCAGTCCGATTTTTCGCAGGAGTGTGGCCATTTTCCCAATCTGCAATAATCCGCAGGGGACTGGCGATGGAGCGATCGCAGATGAGCCCACTGTCTACAATCAGCCGGATTCACAAGATCGCTGCTCTCAGAGCCCATCCATCATCCTCTCTGGACAACAATCTGATTCATGGGCGCTGGGGAAAGTGACGGGTGACGGCTCTGGGGTGACTGGGGGGTCTCATCCTGACAATTCCCATTCAGTGTGCACAGGGGGGTGATGATCTCACGGAGGGGGGTGATGATCTCATGGAGGGGGTGATGATCTCATGGAGGGGGGGTGATCAGCAATCCCTCCCTGTCATCGTGGAGGAAGGCTGTGTGCTCCACACGTCAGTCTGCAGTGATCCGATCTATTCTCTCCTTCTGCTGCAGTGAAATAGTCCTGATCACCAGCCTGCCAGCCTCGATCCCTTCTGTCTCTTATCTGCAGACCTCACAAAAGAGGGGGGAGGGTTGCTGTAGAGGTGGGAGGAGGAAGGAGCTGAGCTGCTCACATGGAAGGCAGGCAAACCACTGGCTACTTTAGAATTAAAAGCCCGATGATTAATGCCCTGGGAACGCCCATTCTTCTAGGACGTCAAGCAAGCCCCTCCCCTCCCCCCTCCCCCCCCCCCTCTCCTTGTCTTCTCTCTGTTACCTGTGCTGCATCCCAAATTGCTGGGTCTGCAGCTATTCTGCATCATCTCAAGGGGGCTGTGTGCAGGAAAGGAAGAGATCTGCCTACATCTTCCTACTCTGATCAATCTGCTTTCTTCTGCTTACAACTTCCACCTCTGACCAGGATCTTCCAAACCCTCTTCCTTCCCCCTAGCTGACCCACATTTTTCTTCCTCATCAAGTACTGGACTCATCCCAGTTCACCCATCTGGAAGGAGAGATAGCCTGTATTATGCAGGTTTCATGACAGATGTGTCTGGTACACAGAAAGTGACATCTTCATATGTCACCTATAGCTACAGATGGAACCCCCTTTATTTTCTGCGCTCCTCTATAGAGGTGAATGCGCCAGGGAGACAATAGAAAGGGCGGATGTGTGGCCTTGGCCAGTAGAAAAGACAGGTACAGATCACACATAAGCTGCTCTGTGGATTTAGTAGGCGGCAGGGAATTTATTCCTGCATAGAAATGACTATACACAAGGCAGGAGCAGACACAATGCAATTTAATGAGCTTGCAATTTTACTCACGGGGTATGAGGTCAAAGAGATAATACATAATAAGACACGCGGTGTTTTGTTATCTCATTCTTCGCCGATTTTACTCCACGGTCCGTTATTAAAAGCATGGTTTTGTTAGACGTGTGTGTTATGCATGTTTAAGTCATTGAAAAGGAAATTACTGCATAGCTTCCAGCTAGGAGCTAAAATTAGTGATGGAATTATGACTTTCTCAAGGTCACTCTGAACAGGTCATCCAGCTACAGCACAGTTATGATCTATCAAGTGATATTAGACCCTTCATGTTTAGAAGCACTTTTAGCAGCTGATCTAATCACTAAAGCTGACCATAGATGGAGCGATTTGGTTGCAGGAAATTAAATCGCTCAAATCCCCCATCAACACAGTCAGTGTTGATGGGGAATCCCTTCTGTGGAGCCATTGTGTTCCACCAAAAGCACAGTTATGAGCTATTAAAGTGATATTTTCAGCAGCTGATTTAATCACTAAAGCTGACCATAGATGGAGCAATCTTCTTTCCTGCAACCTGTAGTTGCAGGAAATTAAATCGCTCAAATCCCCCATCAACACAGTCAGTATTGATAGGGAATCCCTTCTGCGGAGCCATTGTGTTCCACCAACAGCACAGTTATGAGCTATTAAAGTGATATTTTCAGCAGCTGATTTAATAACTAAAGCTGACCATAGATGGAGCAATCTTCTTTCCTGCCACCAAAGGTCGCAGGAAAAAAAATAGCTTGATTCCCCCATCAACACAGTGTTGATGGGGGGATCCTTCCCGGGAAGCCATTGTGTTCCACCAAAAGCACGGTTATGATCTATTAAAGTGATATTAGACCCTTTGTTTTTATAAGCACTTTCAGCAGCTGATTTAATCACTAAAGCTGCCCATTGATGGAGCGATTTTCTTTCCTGCAACCATGGGTTACAGGAAAGAAAATCGCCCAATTCCCACATCAACACAGTGTTGATGGAAGAATCCCTCCCGTGGAGCCATTGTGTTCCACCAACAGCATGGTTATGATCTATTAAAGTGATATTAGACCCTTTGTTTTTATGAGCACTTTCAGCAGCTGATTTATAGTTAGTGTTGATGGGGGAATCCCTCCATTGTGTCATTGTGTTCCACCAACAGCACGGTTATGAGCTATGAAAGTGATATTTTTAGCAGCTGATTTAATCACTAAGGCTGCCCATTGATGGAGCGATTTTCTTTCCTGCCACCACGGGTTGCAGCTAGGAAAATAGCTCAATTCCTTCATCAACACAGTGTTGATGGGGAATCCCTTCTGCGGAGCCATTGTGTTCCACCAACAACACAGTTATGATCTATTAAAGTGATATTTTCAGCAGCTGATTTAATCACTAAGGCTGCCCATTGATGGAGCAATTTTCTTTCCTGCAACCACGGGTATCCCAGGATGCTACAGTAATTGTTGTTGGGGGAATAGCTCCAAGGTGCTACAGTCAGTGTTGATGGGGGAATAGCTCCAAGATGGGATGGGGGAATAGCTCCAAGGTGCTACAGTCAGTGTTGATGGGGGAATAGATCCAAGGTGCTACAGTCAGTGTTGATGGGGGAATAGCTCTCACGGTGCTCCAGTAAGTGTTGATGGGGGAATAGCACCCAAGGTGCTCCAGTAAGTGTTGATGGGGGAATAGCACCCAAGGTGCTCCAGTCAGTGTTGATGGGGAAATAGCCCCCACGGTGCTCCAGTCAGTGTTGATGGGGGAATAGCTCCCACGGTGCTACAGTCAGTGTTGATGGGGGAATAGCTCCCACGGGGCTGCAGTCAGTGTTGATGGGGAAATAGCTCCCACGGTGCTCCAGTCAGTGTTGATGGGGGAATAGCTCCCACGGTGCTCCATTCAGTGTTGATGGGGGAAATAGCTCCCACGGTGCTCCAGTCAGTGTTGATGGGGAAATAGCTCCCACGGTGCTCCAGTCAGTGTTGATGGGGGAATAGCTCCCATGGTGCTCCAGTCAGTGTTGATGAGGGAAATAGCTCCCACGATGCTCCAGTCAGTGTTGATGGGGGAATAGCTCCCACGGGGCTGCAGTCAGTGTTGATGGGGAAATAGCTCCCACGGTGTTCCAATCAGTGTTAATGGGGCAATAGCTCCCACGGGGCTGCAGTCAGTGTTGATGGGGAAATAGCTCCCACGGTGTTCCAGTCAGTGTTAGAGGGGGAATAGCTCCCACGGGGCTGCAGTCAGTGTTGATGGGGAAATAGCTCCCACGTTGTTCCAGTCAGTGTTGATGGGGGAATAGCTCCCATGGTTTCCCACGCCAGGAGAACACAGTGATTTCTGCTAGCAGCTGTAATAGCCACTAGCAATAATCACATGTGAAATTTGACGGGCTGGTTGTACCCAAATTAATTGATTGATCACCTTAGGTACATTCAGCCTGTATGCCAATACATGGTTCAGATCTCAGCTGGTTCCAGCTGAGATTCAAACTGTCTATGGCTGGCTTAAAGCTAGGTTCAGTGTGATTCTGTGAGCCAGGCTTTGCACAGGCATGGCAGCCCATTTATTTGCCATCTGAAATGAAGGGAAAAGGTTCCTGCAGCAGATTAGAAATCACAGCTTGCATGGGCACCACAAATGCAGTGCATCTGTCGCATGTTTTAATGTTCCAGTTTAAGCTGGTGCCATGACTGCTGTGCCAGTTTTCCTGTTTCAGAGTGGCTCCTTTCTATATCAGCATCCTATGAAGTCACCTTTACATGCAGCTGCTAGGGTTGTATCTACTTACACTGTGTGCATGAATAGAAACACAAAGCCCCATAACCTATGATAGCTAAGCACTCCCCTGCTCTTCTGTCCTTCTTTCCCCTCCCTTCTAAAAGCTAACAGACTAACGGGTGTCAAACTGGTGGCCCTCCAGCTGTTGCCAAACTACAAGTTCCATGAGGCATTGCAAGATTGACAGTTACAAGCATGACTCCCAAAGGCAGAGGTATGATGGGACTTGTAGTTTCACAACAGCTGGAGGACCGCCAGTTTGACATCCCTGGAACTGGAGAAGGCACTGTCCACTGCTAACTCTTTCCTTTGAGGAACAGAAGTTCAGAGAAGCAGCACTGAGAGAGTAGGAGCCATCAATATTGAAAGTTGTAAACTGCAAGTGCTGAGATGAGAGCTTTAACCCCTTAACACCATCTCTCAGTGGTTGGGCTTTAATGTCCAAAGCGTGGCATGGCATGGTTTCTGTGTCATGTAACCACTGTGATTGACTCTCAAAAAGGTTACGTGATCGGGAGCCCATCCTGCTAGCTACTCTTCAGAAGC